CCCCAAAACCCCAAAACCCCAAAACCCCGTTTTGGGTGCGGGAAATTGAAAAATAAGCAATATAATTTTTACGAATGCTGATTTCTTGTGTGTATGATGTGAGCTTTGCATAAAAGCTTGATATTTCTTTGATAAATTTTCATGAAGTTTGACAGTATTTCTTCAATTGTGGAGATATGCCCTTATTACGGAACTCTTGACGAAGTTTATATCTTACTGCTTCAGTTAAACAGAAAGACTAAAGGATACTTGACAAAAAGTGCTAAAGCTTTAGACCAAATAATACTTGCTAGAAAAGTGATCTGACTTGGCAAAGAGAAACTCCAAACTTATATGAGAAGATTTCGGGAAAGAATAGCATATAGACTATTCAAAATGGATACAATAGTACTTGAAGGGAATTCCTGAGTGAATGAAGTAATACAATTTATCAAGCATCATCCAGAACCTCGTTTCCTAAAGTTCACCAGCTTTGAAGTATGGTTATCTGGCAAGAATGACCCAATTTATTGGAATACCAAGTTTTACCAAGATAAAAACCAGGAGAAGCGATACCTAAAAGTTATCGAGAAGTTAGAACTAGCCTTTTCGAAGCAAAATCTACCCACTCAACTAATAGAGTCTATAGAAAGAGCAGAAGTAGTAGCATACAGGTACAAGCAGATAAAATACTGAGTATTTCTAATCGACATGAACTCAAATCCCAGACTGTTGACAAAATTAGTTAAAAGACTGATAAGAAAGGAAATAAAGATCCATAAAATCATCATTGTTTTAGATTTTTCAAATTACAGCTTTTGGCTGAATTATAAAGAAGCTTTTGATGATCTCGAAGACTTTCAAGTAAAAATTATAGCCCGGAGTATATATCATAAATCCATCAATGCCTATGACTTTATTGATAACCTAATCAAAAAGAACCAAGTTGAGCTAATGATCGTGAACCAGATATGAAACTTTCACTTAATTGATTCCTCTCTAGGGGATAGAGAATTTAGGACAAGGCAGTTCCAAAGACTTGAGAGTCCTTTCCTCTCTAAGGTTACTTCAAATGTTCCTTCTCTAATAAAGATACACACTCCTGAAATCATTGAGAAAGAGAAGATGAAGTATACATGACTGCAATCTCAACAATGGATGTGCGAAGCGATGCTCACTGATTTTGATATCTTCGATAATCAAAATTTTTGCATTAACCCAAACTCGATCCTGACTTACTTTAAACTAATAAAGAACCCTATGATTTCATATGAAATAATTGATAATTCGACTGTTGATGATGCAGAGACTGAGTGAGATTATATCCCAATAGAGAACAGATTTGATCCAGGTATCTTATTTGAGGTAGATTCGGTCACAAACAACCTAACCAGAGTTCTTGGAAAGTACAGAAGCTCAGAGAATGGAATTAACATCTTTAGAAGATATAAAGATACAATCTTTAAACACCCTCTTGATGGTATCTTAGAAATAGATTTAACCAGACTTAAGGAACAGACCTTCCTCCATTGTATCTTATTGTGTGAATTCTTCAAAATTTTAGAGCTAAAATTTATCCTTGGCTTAGAGACAAACTTTGGCTTTGTCAGAAAACTCTTGAAATATCTTACTACTAATGAAATTCCAAAGGTTCTAAAACGAAATAAGCCAAACATTCATGAGCTGTACCCAAATTTTACTGGGTCAAAACCTAGAGTTTTTAAAGTATGGCTTGTGAGCTCCTCTGCTTCCTCAGAGTATATGCACAGAGTGATTCGTACTCTTCCGAACACCCATTTGAAGATTGTTTTCTCGGATAATGCCCCTTTCACAGAAGAAGTTTCTGAGATGATCAAGGATTTGAAGACCAAATCTGGAATGAGTAATCTTACATTTTACAAGGAGCAAGCTCGTTCTCTATATAAAATGGCTTAATTATTCAAATATTTCTAAAAGAAAATCTATTTTCAGTTAAAAATATGCTAGATGGAGGTTCAAAGCTAGTCCAAGAACAAGCAATACATCATGATTCGAAGTCATTCACAGTTTTTGAGATGCTGAGGAGAGAAAGAATGGCTCAAGATAGTTTTATTTTAGATTGCAATCTTTTTTACATTTGTTCAAGTGTATAATTTTAAGTTGGGGTTTTGGGGTTTTGGGGTTTTGGGGTTTTGGGG